CCCCAAAACCCCAAAACCCCAAAACCCCAAAATATAGAGATAGGAGGAAATAATTGAGAGACAAAGATTAATTTAACTCATGAAATTTCAATTTAAAATTTTGATTGGATGGATTAAAAGTAAGTTGCTCTATATATAACTTGCTGCCATTAACAAAAATTATTTTATTTGCATTTCAACAACTACAGTTTGACTTCTTCTATTATTGTCCAAGTCTACTTCTTAGTCTCATTTTATTAATATTTTATTAATTCAAACTGTGAGGATTTTTTGTATGATTTCCTCCATCTACACTGCCTGACCTAGATCTAGAATTTTAAGAGGATGTCTCATCATCGATCATATGATGCAATTAGTCTTTGTATTTTATATAGATAAATTTAGCCAAATCAATGAACATTTTATCTATATTATCTCCTGATTTAGCAGAAGTTTCAGTGAAATACAATAAATTATTTCTCTTTTTGAACTCTAAACCCTCTTCGTGAGAGACAGATCTTCTCTATTCAAGATCAGACTTATTTCCGATTAAACACATTAAAATGTCAGGCTAACATGAGCTTTTCGCTTCTCTTAGCCAGTCTTAAACGTTTTCATATGTATCCCTCTAAGTAATTGAATAACCAAGTATAGCAGTGTGAGCTCCTCTATAAAATATTTTAGTAATAGATCTAAAGCTCTCTTATCCTGCAGTGTCCCAAATCTGCAATTTCAAAATTTTATCTTCAATCTTAATTAAAAAGGAACCGAATTCAACTCCCACTGTCACATCATGATCCTCTTTGAATTCATTGTCTACTAGTCTCTTTAATACACATGATTTCCCAATGCCTATAAAATCATTTAGTATACTTAAGAAATCGCCATTATAGTAAGAGTTATTACTCTCAAGTAAATAAATCTTACCTGAATCTCCAATAATGATAATTTTAAATAGTGCATCGTGGTATGATAAAGCTTTATCAGTAATTATTTCATGTCTCAACCCATCAATTCGCTTCAAATTATTGTATTCGTAATCATCAGATCTAGATTCCATTTCGATTTATTATTTATTCCAATAACTCTTTAATTTTTTATTCTAGCACTTTGGGGTTTTGGGGTTTTGGGG